AGCAGCAGAGCGTCTGGGCTGTCAGCTGAAAGCGATAATTGAACTAATGTGTTGTGATCCAGGAGGTTTTATGTTGAGCTCTCTGAATATAATTGTACTTCTGAAATGCCACCCCCATTTTTTCTGCTATCTGCTTTCTGTCTCATGAAGATTGGTTTTGTCAGAGGATGGATACACAATTCTAAACATTCAAGAAAGTCAGTTGTCAGGAGTAAAAGCAGAGTTTGGGGGGTTTTGTTTGTTTTTTTGAACATGAGAATGGCACAGTATTCTGTCTTCAACAGTGGCCAGTGCCAAATGCCCCAGAGGAAATTAACAGAACAGTTAATCATTTAATTATCTATCCCTTGTCTCCCATTCTCAGCCCTGACAAATAGAGGCTAGGGGCACCATCCCTTTCCATTCTGGATAATAGCTATTGTCGGACCTATCTTCCATGAATTTATCTAGTTCTTTTTTAACACCATTTAAGGCTTGTCCTTCACAATATCCTCTGGCAGGGAGTTCCACAAGGTGATTGTGCATTATGTGAAGAAATACATCCTTTGTTTGTTTAAAACCTGCTGCCTATTCATTTCATTTGGTAAGATTAGGTTCTTGTGTTATGGGAAGGACTTTTCCTTACAGGCAGTCCCCGGGTTACGTACAAGATAGGGACTGTAGGTTTGTTCTTAAGTTGAATCTGTATGTAAGTCGGAACTGGCGTCCAGATTCGGCCGCTGCTGAAGCTGATCAGTTTCAACAGTGGGTGAATCTTGACGCCAGTTCTGACTTACATACAGATTCAACTTAAGAACAAACCTACAGTCCCTATCTTGTACGTAACCCGGGGACTGCCTGTACTAAATAAGCCCAGTTCCCTCAACCTCCACTGGATAGCATACTTAGATTTCTAGAAAGCCTTGACAAGGTCCCTCACCAAAGACTCCTAAGTAAAGTAAGTTGTCTTGGGATAAGAGGGAAGGCCCTCTCATGGCTTGATAACTAGTTAAAAGACAGGAAACAAAGTGTAGGAATGAATGGCAAGTTTTCAGAATGGAGAGAGGTAACTAGTTGTGTCCCCCAAGGGTCCATACTGGGGTCAGTAATATTCAACCTATTTATAAATGATCTGGAGAAAGGGGTAAACTGTGCGGTGGCAAAATTTGCAGACAAAACTAAATTGCCAGTGGCATAGTGAGGGGGGAGACTAGGAGGGACAGTTGTCCCCAGGCGCTATGCTGTGGGGGAGGGGCGCCAATTTATTCCTCCTTTGCTCCCCCTTTTATTTCTTGGCTTGCCTACTCCTCCTCTGCCCCCCACTGCCACCAGCTGGAGCCTCATCTCTGCCCCCAGCCCGACCCTCCTCCATCTCCGCTGGCGGGTTAGTGCGTTCAGTGGGCCGGCCCCAAACTGGAGGGGGCGGGAGAAGGCATGGTACAATTTTCCCCTCTCCCAGGATCAGGCTCAGTTGTGCGCCAGGTTTGGGGCGAGAGGGAATTGCAAATTTTGTCTTTGCCCCCCCTGCGTGTAACACCCTAGCTACACCTCTGTAAACTGCTCAAGATAGTTAAGACCAAAGCAGACTGCGAAGAGCTTCAAAGAGATCTCACAAAAATAAGTGATTGGATAACAAAATGGCAAATGAAATATCATGTTGATAAAATGCAAAGTAATGTACATTGGAAAAAATAATCCCAACTATAAATACAATATGATGGGAACTAATTTAGCTACAACTATTGAAGAGAGAGAGCTTGGAGTCACTGTGTATAGTTCTCTGAAAACATCCACTCAGTATGCAGCAGCAGTCAAAAAAGCAAATAGAATGTTAGGAATCATTAAAAAGGGATAGAGAATAAGACAGAGAACATCTTATTGCCTTTATATAAAACCATGCTACGGCCATATCTTGAGTACTGCATACAGATGTGGTTGCCTTATCTCAAAAAGGATATACTGGCATTGGAAAAGGTCCAGAGAAGGGTAACAAAAATGATAAGGCTTTTGGAATGGGTCCCATATGAAGATAAATTAAACAGACTGGGATTTCTCATTTTAGAAAAGAGGAGACTAAGTGGGGATATGATAGAGGTCTATAAAATCATGACTGGTGTGGAAAAAGTGAATAAGGAAAAGTTATTTACTTGTTCCCATATCATAAGAACCTAGGGCTCAACAAATGAAATGTATGGTTAGTTGGTTTAAAACAAAAGAACTTTTTTTTTTCAGATAGCACACAGTCAGCCTATGGAACTCCTTGCCAGAGGAGGTTGTGAAGACTAGGACTTTAACAGGGTTCAAGAAAGAACTAGATAGATTCATGGAGGTTAGGTCCATCAACATTGGTAAGCCAGGATGGGTAGGAATGGTGCCCCTAGTCTCTATTTGTCTGGAAATGAGTGATAGGAGAGGATTCACATGAGGGTTACCTGTTGTGTTCCCTCCCTCTGTGGCATCTGGAATTGGCCACTATTGGCAGACAGGATACTGGGCTAGATGGACCTTTGGTCTGACCTAGTATGACCATTCTTACATTCTAGCCTCTCATAGTTCATGTCCCTCAACCCCTAATCATTTTCATTGCCCTCTGCTGGATTCTCTCCAATTTGTCCACATTGTTTCTATAGTGAAGGCCCCCAAAACTGGACACAATACTCCAGATGTGGACTCATCAATGCTGAACAGAAGGGAATAATTGCTTTCCTTGGTCTCCTGTCTGCTTCTAATACAGCTGAATATGCTGTTTAGCCTTCTTAGCCACAAGGGCACACTGACTTGTATGCAGCTTCTGGTCCACTATAATCCTCCAGATCCTTTTCTGTAGAACTGATGCTTAGCCAGTTTGTCCTCAGCCTGTAGCAATGCACAGGATTCTTCCATCGTAAGTGCAGTATTCTGCACTTGCCCATGTTGAACCTTATCAGATATGTTTTTTGACCCAATCCTCCAATTTTTCTAGGTTACTCTGTAGCCTATCCCTATCCTCCAGCATATCTACCTCTCTCCCACCTTAGTGTTATCTTCAAAACTTGCTGAGGGTGCTATCCATCCCATCATACAGATCATTAATGAACATATTGAACAAAACTGGCCCAGGACTGTTCCCTGGAGTACTCTGCTTAATACCAGCTGCCAACTAAACACTGAGCTGTTGATCACTACCCGTTGACCCCAACAATTTAGCCAGCTTTCTGTCCACTTTTATAGCCTATTCCTCCAAGCCATTCTTAAATTTCTGGCAAGAATACTGTGGGAGACGGTATCAAGAGCTTTGCTAAAGTCAGAGTGTATCACATCTATCAATATCAAATGCCAAGTACTCCACTTAGGAAAGAACAATCAGTTTCACACATACGGTATATCTAGACTACATGCCTCTGTTGCGAGGCATAAGGGAGTGGTCGACAAAGGCGTTCCCTGTCAACCGATCCGCGTCTTGACGGCTGCGCTGTGCGGACAATCAGCTGAGCTGGCACAGCGTGGAAGCCATTTTTATTTTAATGAAGCCGGGGATATTTAAATCCCGGCTTCATTGACTGTGTCGGGTAGTCTAATTTACATGCCTCTGGCAGCAGGGGCATGTAGCCATTTCCCATTCTGTATGGGTATGTCTAGACTATCTAGGAAGGAGTACTGTCGAATGCGATATGGGGGGGGGGGTCATGGAGGACCACAAGCGAAATATGAGTCAGAGTGACACTGTTGCAAAAACAGCAAACATGATTCTGGGATGAATTAACAGAAGTGAGCAAGACACGAGAAGTAATTGTTCCACCCTACTCTGCGTTGATTAGGCCTCAACTGGAGTATTGTCTAGTTCTGGTACTACATTTCAGGAAGGATGTGGAGAAATTGGAGAGAGTCCAGAGAAGAGCGACAAAAGGTCTAGAAAATATGGATTATGGGGAAGTGTGAAAGAATTGGGTTTGGAAAAGAGAAGACTGAGAGGAGACATAATAGCACCTTTCAAGTACCTTAAAAGGGTGCTACAAAGAGGAAGGAGAAAAATTGTTCTCCTTGACCTCTGATTATGATGGGACAAGAAGCAAGGGAGATTTAGGTTGGGCTTAAATAGCAGCAAGGGAGGTTTAGCGTGAACATTAGGAAAAATTCCTAACTGTCAGAGTGGTTAAGCACTGGACTTAATTGCTTAGGGAAGTTGTGGAATCTCCATCATGGGAGATATTTAAGAGCAGGTTGGATAGACATCTTATCAGGGATGATTTGTGGTGCTTGGTCCTGCCGAAAGGGCAGGAGACTACATTTGATGACCTCTTGAGGGCTTTTCCAGTTCTAGTATTGTATGCTTCCCCATATCCACAGAGCCATGTATCTCCTCATAGAAGACTGTTAGGTTGATCAGGCATGGCTTAATGTAGGTGTTACTGGATGTAATGCTATGGTCTGTGTTATGCAGAGTAGCTTAAATAACCTAAATGGTTCCTTCCGGCCTTAAAATTATATTATCTAATTTCAGAGTTTTTCTGAGGGGATGAGTCTAGTTTAGCTAATATGTAAAAACCTATTTTTTTCTAAGCTACATTATGAAGAATCTCCAAAAAGGTGGAACTCTTGTAAATTGAGGTGATAAAAATACAAAAACCAGAACAGTTAATGAGGCCTGTATGAACCTAGAAACTTGAGAAAACAGGCATTCATATTTTTGACTTTATATCCATTTCACTGAGTGACTTTGCTCTATATGTGGTGTTAGAATTGCATTAATAGTAGATAAACTCAATTTCTACTCATACTGTAATATTTTGAAATGGCCATAAAAATATTAACTACTGTATTTGGAGAATTTTAACACAAGGGAAGAAATGTCTTTCTGATCTCAGTGCCAGGTACCACCGAGAAAATAATTACTTCCACGCCATAAGTCTTTTGGAAAAAAAGGCTTATAATGATATAGGTATAAGCTCAACTGTAGTGGTCACTAGTGCCATTCTCTTTAAGGTGCAGTCGGAAACAAAAGATACTTAGCTGTTACAATCAGTCTACTCTTTTTTTTCTAGGTTTCATTAAATGGAAGCCAGTTTACAGATAATTCCGTTGGATCAGAGTTCACAGGTGTTTCTCAGGTAGGTAGGGTCAAGTTCGGTTGATCAGTATGTCTTCCATAAATAAATCATTCAGTGACTATTGAAATGCAAAAATGAGCCAGAGACTTCATTACAGAATTTAAGCTACATTATAGGTTTTAGGGCTTGACTCTGTTCTCTGAAGTCAGTGGTAGCCCTGGTCTATGTTAAAAAATTATACTGACTGTACTCCTGTTGAAAACAGTGATAGGTTGAAGGCAGAAGACTCCCTTCAATGTAGCTACCCCTCTTGGGGAGAGAAGTATCAGAAGGGTAGCCGTGTTAGTCTGAATCTGCAAAAGCGGCGGCATCCTCCGGCATCTTATAGACTAACCGAAGTGTTGGAGCATAAGCTTCAGGGAGACTGAAGTGTTCCCCTACAGGTTTTTGTATATTGCCATTCCTAATATCTGATTTGTGTCCATTTATTCTTTTACGTAGGGACTGTCCAGTTTGGCCAATGTATATAGCAGAGGGACGTTGTTGGCACATGATGGCATATATTACGTTAGTAGATGTGCAGGAGAATGAACCAGTGACGGTATGGCTGATCTGGTTAGGTCCTGTGATGGTGTTGCTGGAGTATATATGTTGGCAGAGTTGGCACCGAGATTTGTTGCATGGATTGGTTTCTGAGTTAATTATTGTGGTGCGGTGTATAGTTGCTGGTGAGAATATGCTTCAGGACACACATCAGGTATTAGGAATGGCAATATACAAAAACCTTTAGGGGAACACTTCAGTCTCCCTGGACACACAATTGCAGATCTAAAGGTAGCCATCCTGCAGCAAAAAAACTTCAGGACCAGACTTCAAAGAGAAACTGCTGAGCTACAGTTCATCTTCAAGTTTGACACAATCAACTCAGGATTAAACAAAGACTGTGAATGGCTAGCTAACTACAAAAGCAGCTTCTCCTCTCTTGGTATTCACACCTCCAGATCAGCTACTAGAAGTTGGCCTCATCCTCCCTGATTGGATCCACCTCATTATCTCTAGCCTGATTCTTGCCTGCATATTTTATTTATACCTGCCTCCGGAAATTTCTACTACATGCATCTGACGAAGTGGGTCTTTGTCCACGAAAGCTTATGCTCCAACACTTCGGTTAGTCTATAAAGTGCCACAGAACTCCTCGCCGCTCTTAGGGGGAGAGTTTCTCCTGTTTATATAGGTATTCTAAGTGTTACAGTGGTGCAGCTGCACTGGTAAGTATAAACTAGCCCATAAAGTTTCCACTAATTTCGTTGATGCTGAATCAAATACTAAAGTATTACATTTCATTAGGGTTTGATTATTTTCATAAACACCTGCAGGATTTATATACCAAATAGCAATGTGCTAGTGTGCTTATGAAACTGACTAAATGGTTTCATTGTGCAAGCTAACAAAGTGCAAAAGTGATAGCACAAATGGTGAAAAGTAAGTTAGATTTTAAAATAATTATTGAGCTAATAATCTTAGAGATGGAAACATGCACAGGGCAAACTTTAAATAAGGGTGGGGAACCTTTTTTGAGTCAGGGACTGCTAACTCTCAGAGATTAGTTGGACTGCACAAGTGAGAAGAAGCAAAAAATAAAACAAAACAAAAAAACCACTCTCTCACAAAAATTCCACAAAATGTCTTGATGTGGTATGATCTTTATTTTTTTTATTTAGAATTTTAGTGTGCTATCTGAGTTTGCTTTTTGCAGGGAAAAGCCTTTCCTGTCCTCGCACTCTTGCAAGGGATTCCCTCCTGTACTGCATGCCTCCTTAACTGTTAAGAAGGCATGGCTGGCAGCATGTGGCTTCAGTCTGCCAGACACTGTTCCCTGCTGCAATCAGCCTATTCAGGAAAGGGGCACGTGGGTGGGAAGGAGAGAAGAGAAGCTGGCCAGCTGTGGCCTCCCCTTCCTCCCAAAAGGTGCCTCCTGCAGGGGAAGGTCTCCGGAGCTTCCTTCTCTTCCATTCTGGGAATGGATTTCCGACCCCCCTTCCCTCTCTGGGCCCTCCCGCATGCCTCCTTATGAGCAAAATGAGTTTTGCTGGAAGCCTCTGCATCTGCTGGAGGCTGGAAAGCAGCTCAAACCTCTTTTTCACTGCAGCCTCACCAAAACACCACAGGGCTTCAGCACCTGGAGCTTCTTTATTCCGCCAGACCTCCTGCACGCATCTCTCCCACGTGCAGGAGAGGAACCAGACTGGATTAAATTGTTTGGTGGGCTGGAGGTTCTCCACCCCTGCTTTAAATTATCTCAACCAGCATCACTTTAAGGTTGTTCTGAAGACAAAAAATTATTCTAGGAAATGTACTTAAGTAGATTGAATAATAGTACGTTTAAGTAATGCTGATGTTTTTGCTCTTCCAAATTTGTTAACAAATAAAATGTATAAGCAAATGTCTACAGACATCAGATGCAGTTCCTCATTGAGGGCTATGACAGCTTTTGAAATTTGATAAGCAAAATGTAATTTTCTTTTCCCTCCCCAATAAGTGTACACTTTTTTCCTAGAAAATGTGACAAATAGATATGTATGGATCTAAATGCAAATTCATGTAATTGAAAAAGAGCTCAACTATTATTGTGGATATTTCCACATCCAATCATGCAAGTTGTCTCCACTTTTGGGCTGAGAGAAAGCATGAGAGATTTCAGCCTCTTGTTTCTGAGAAAGTTGCCAAGTTATGAGAGTAGGGGTTGAGAATTGGTTGCTTCAAGGTATGTTTGAGACAAGTTGCAATTTTACTGGGCAGAAGCAACCAGAAGTTGACATTGCTCGTTGCCCATAATCGAGATGGTAAATATTAATCTTGTTAAAATACAAAATAGTTTAGAAACTACCACTGTGTATAAGTTGTCCCACCTCTTTCTGAATCTCAGATATGTGCTTCATAAAACAAACATTTGTAGTTCAACTTTTTAAATTTGTGATGTAAATGCAGATTCATTTGGAGGACCATGATTTTGTAAACAAAGGGCATCTTCTAGATGGACAGCCCTTGAAATGATTACTCTTGCTGTTTTTGTGGTGGTTCTCCTTTAAATAATAGGGTATGTCTACACTACCCTCCTAGTTCGAACTAGGAGGGTAATGTAGGCATACCGCACTTGCAAATGAAGCCCGGGATTTGAATTTCCCGGGCTTCATTTGCATAAGCGGGGAGCTGCCATTTTTAAATCCCCGCTGCTTCGAACCCCGTGCAGCGCGGCTACACGGGACTCGAACTAGGTAGTTCGGACTAGGTTCCTATTCTGAACTACCGTTACTCCTCGTGAAATGAGGTGTACCGGTAGTTCGGAATAGGCACCCTGTTCAAGCATTTGAACTGCATGATTGTTCTTCTTAAACCCTTGTACTCCGAGTGGAGGATAGGTCATCTGCAAGTCTCCTCCACTTTACTCTGTCTTGAGAAACAACTTCTAGCTGACTCTAGTACCCCAGTGTCCTTCAATCTCAGTAGATCTTCTCCACGTTATCCGAGGTCTTCCTCTTTTGCCTTTTCCTTACGAGTTCCATGTGAGAGCTTGATAGACTCTGCTGGATGATGGTTTTCTGAGAGCGTGGCCTAGACATCCCCACTTTATTCTCTTTATTTGAACGTCAAGTGATTCTTCTCCTACTTTGTTTGAGCTCCTCTTTTGTGACAGTCTTGACATTTGATATGAAGGATGTACCTCAGGCATCTCTTTATGAATGACTGTAGCTTGTGATTTTGAAGACTTTTTAGTATGCCAGGTCTCATTATAGAATATAGTCAGATTCTCTTCAGATGTCAGCATTAGGGTATGCATGTTATTGATGCAGTGAGGAAGAGAATAGGGTTACTGGGACACAAATAAGACTGGTCTAGAATCTAGATTGTGATCCTTGTTGTGGCAAAGTGAGTGTGAGATTTAACCATACTTTAACCTTGTGAACTTTGAATATGTTCCCAAAACAGTATTGGTTATTGGTTAATATTGAAGTGTTGGTATTTGACTCTGTGGTTTTTTGTTTTTTGTTTTTAAGCAAATACATAAGGACGTTGAGAAGCTCAAGGGCAGGAGTGGGCAAAATATGGCCTTTGTCAGCTCCTGCCCACCAAATATTCAATTTTTAGCCCACTACGATACTCTGGGCCATCCTGCAGCCCCGTCAGGTCCTTGGGCAGACTCCCTGCTTGCTGCGGCTCCTCCGCCCCTCCCCCCGCTCCGCCACTCAAGACGGATGGCTGCTCAGACCAGCATGTGCGTGCATTTCTGCATGGTGCACCCTTTGGGGGGAGTCACTGCGTGTTGCCCACACCCACAGAGCCAGAAACTGGTGTGCAGGGGAAGGCAAAATACAGAAATCTGCAGCCCCCTGCACTTGTGGTTGTGCCACTCAGAGCTGCATACATTAGCCCCAGCAGCTGGACACTTTGCATGGCATGTGGAGGTGGCAGGCAGGGAGCTTTCCCCAGGATCCTACTTGGTTGCTGGCTGTGAGCCACCTACAGTAACCACCTCTTAACCAGAGCCTGCACCTGGTGCCCATCTGCAGGTCTTACCCTTTGCCCCAGAGCACAATTCGCTCCTATCCCTTGGCACCAAAACACAATTCTCTCCTGCATCCAAACGTTGCACCCCAATTTCGTGCCCCAAATCACAAGCCAAATGCTTTGCACCTCCTACTTTATCTCACCTCCAGATGAGAATTCTCTCATTCACACACACTTTCTCAGGCCTCCCACCTCCTCCTGCACCCCAATCCCCTACCCAGAGCTCCCTCCAATGCCCAACTTCTGTCCCACCCCATACACCCTCTCCATTAATAATATAGAAAAGTGTAATCCTTGACCACTTACCAAATTTTTGGACTGGCCACCTAGCAAAAATTATTCCCCATGCCTATGTTATTGTTGGGTGGTTAAATTCTTTGAAGATTCCATCTGCACTGACTCAGGCTGAAAAGGATGAATAGGACTATCCCTGTAGTTGTTGCTCTCAGCTGCTGCAGGCTGCTACGGTGTAAGTAACTAGAACTGAAAGCAGGGAATCTGTGTCTCCAGTATTATGGGTGGGAGAGAGAATAGGTTCTGGCTCCATGCTTCCAGAACAGGACAATTGCCCATTTTGCCCCTTGCCATGTTGGAGGGCCTGCTTGGGACTGATAGTTGCTGGCATCTGTCTGACTCCCAGTCTCTGTATAGAGGAAAATATAATCAGATCAGATTGGCTGGCGGGGTAGAGACTAGGCCAGTGGGGGAAGTTAAAGATAGACTGGGAACCTGTGATGGTGTTAGTGCAGGGAACTGAGAGCAAGTGGGGAAAATGGAAATTGAATGAGGAGACTGAGACTGGACGTGTGAGGGAAGGAAGATTAGCACTGACTAGATGGGCAAAAGTGGTCAGGCTTGCAGGAGGAGGGTCTGGGTCCGCTAGAGAAGACTCCCTTCCATAGTCTTTACTCGAATGCAAGATTCTGCAGTTAAAGATTCCTCCATTGTTATGAATTCCCAATGCAATGCTGTAACCAAAAGAGTTAATGTGATCCTTGGTAGCATAAACAGGAGTTTTGAGTTTGAGCTGAGAACTTCTGTATTTTTCCTCTGTATTTGGGATTATGCCTGCTTCTAGAAGACTGTCTCCAGTTTTGGTACCGACAATTCAAAAAGGATGTTAACATTGTGTAGGATTCAAAGAAAAACCATGAGAATGTTTAAAGGATTAGAAAACATGCCTTATAGTGATGGACTCTAGGGGTATGTCTAAACTATACCCCTCTGTTGGCGGAGGGATGTAAATTAGACGCATCGGACGTGCAAACGAAGCTGGGATTTAAATATCCCGTGCTTCATTTGCATATTGGCGGCCGCAGCTTTTTTTGAAACGGGGCTTTTTAAAAAGAAGGGCAGTTTAGACGGGGCGTTTTCAACAGAAATGCCCCGTTTCGAAAGATCCTGTACTCACTCACTGACGAGTACAGGATCTTTCAAAATGGGGCATTTCTGTTGAAAACACCCCGTCTAAATTGCCTTTTTTTTTTTAAAAGCCCCGTTTCAAAAAAAGCGGCGGATGCCAATATGCAAATGAAGTGTAGGCTACTTAAATCCCAGCTTCCTTTGCACTTTTGATGCGTCTAATTTATATCCGTCTGCCGACAGAGGGGTGTAGTTTAGATGTGCCCTAGGAGTTCAGTCTATTTAGTTTAATAGAGAGCAAGTTATGGGATGATGACAGAGTATCTAGATTGGTAACAAATACTTAATACTAGGCTTCAGTCTAGCAGAGAAAGATATAACAAGATATAAATGGCTGGAAGTTTAAGCTCAAAAAATTCAAAATTGAAATGACACACATTTTGAACAAGAGGCAAGGAGTCCTGTGGCACCTTATAGACTAACCACAGTGTTGGAGCATAAGCTTTCGTGGGCAAAGACCCACTTCGTCAGATGCAAATTCAAACTAACACAGCTACACCTCTCCTATTTTGAACAGTTTAGATAACAAACTATTGGAACAATTTACCATGAGTCAAGATTTTTAGATCAAGATTGGATGTTTTTCTAGAAGATATGCTCTAGGAATTTATTTTAGGAAATCCCTATGTACAGGAGATGTAGTGATCACAGTAGTCCCTACTGGTCTTGAAATTTGACCAGGTAGGAGAATTGAAGCTTGACTCTAGACTACAGCTTTGAACAATTAGTACTCAGTTGATGGGGCCTTTCTGATATATCCCATTTTATACACTATTTTTGGATAGTGCACAATAGGCATTTTATTGCTGGAAACTTGGTCCTCTTTATACCCACTGTCCTGAGGATGGTCTGGAGGAGAATGGAATACAGGCAGTCCCCGAATTATGCGGATCCGACTTATGTCGGATCCGCAGTTACGAACGGGGCTGCCCCGAAGTACACGGACTGCGGGACCTCGCGGTCCCGCCGCCCGTGTACTCCGGGCGAGAAAAGCTGCTCCGCGTCTCCCTGGTCTGCAGACCAGGAAGATGCGGAGCAAAGCCGCGGAGGGGCTCAGGCAGCGGGGCAGCCCAGGCGCGCCTGGGCTGGCTTGCTGCCC